TAGACCTCTATAAGGTCACCCCTCAACCTCCCAAGCTCCAGTCTAAAATGTCCTAGCCTATACAGCCACTCTTTATAACTCAAGCCTTCCAGACCAGGTAGCATCCTAGTAAGTCTCTTCTGCTCTCTTTCCAGTTTAACTATAACCTTTATACAGTAGGATGACTAGAACTATGTACAATACTCCAAATGTGGCCTTATCGATGTCTTGTACAGCTGCAACAAGACTTCCCAATTCCTATAATCAGTGCCATGACCGAAGAAAGCAAGCATGCCAAATGCCTTTCTCACGACCCTGTCTACCTGTGACTCCACTTTCAGGGAGCTATGAACCTGCACACCTGGATCTCTTTGTTCTACGAAACTCCCCAGGGCCCTACCATTGACTGTGTAAGCCTTGCCCTGTCCTGACCTACCAAAATATAACACCTTGCATTTTTCTAAATTAAACTCCATGATGGGAGTGAGGTGGGAGTGAGTGGGATGGATGACTTGTCATGGAAATGGCAATTTGGGATCATGGGATTTGGGGAACAATTTTCTTTTTGGCTATGGCCCAAGTACTAGAAAATGAGATTAGAATAGTTAGGTCCTTGTTTTTGAATGAATGGGCCAAAGGGCCTTTTCCTGTGTTGTAGACCACTATGGCTCTGTGAAGGTGTGAATGATGAAAGCTACAGGCTATATTACAAAAAAACAGCTGAGGTGAAGTAACAGAGATCCGAGGTGACCCTTTTAAGCAGCTCAAATTGGCACTCAATAGCTCATTTAGTTGCCTCTGAACTGCATCCAACAGCTCAACTCCACACGTACTCTCCACTTGCCTCCTCCCTCCACCCGAACAGAGGTACCACCAGTAGGGCAAACTTCTCATGAGAAAGGTTTCCAAACTCCTCCCTGACTTTGCAGTAAAAATCAGGCCCATTGTGTCAATGCAGAATGAAGATCCTTGCAGTGCCTCAGAGATGCATCTTCCTCTTTAATGTGTTGCAGATATTCACATGCAGTTTCAGGGTTTCAAACTGTCCTTTCACAGCCAGTCAGGAAGTCAATGGTTTGACTTTGAATTTTGGACTGTTATCCATTTTGTCCTTATATGTATGGAAGAATTTGTTATTTATGATGAATACACAGGGATTGGTTTAAACTCAAGATCAAGACTTCAACTCTCAGCTATTCCCTTAATTATTGTTGGAGTTTTTTATACCTTAACTTCCCTATTTTTTACAATATTGTCACATTAATTGAGTATTTTTTTGTAATATGTCATATTCCCTTACTGAAAAAAAATTACTTACAATGTGGAGCTGGAGGAATACAGCAGGTCAGACAGCATCAGAGTAGCAGGAAAGTTGATGTTTCAGGTTTACGCCCTTCTTCAGGACTACATTTGTATCCAAACTCTTCAGTCAAAATTGGTATTTTCTTTTGGAATTCTTTATTCACCCCACTCTTGACAATGGCATGTTAAGATGTTGCCCACTTTACTCAGTTGTGGGACAGCTCCTGATCTTTAGTACAACATGATCTCTATTTGCCATCCCTAAGATAAAAAGCTTGATCCTAGTTATTGCAGAATTAGACATTTATTGAAGAAAAATGCTCATTGTCACTTTGGATGTTTAATTCTCCTTTTAATTTGTGTGCAATTATTTTTTGTAGTCTCTACGTTTAGGTGACACAGATCTAGGTTCAAGAAATCTACTACAGAAACAAAAATCTGAAATAAATGTGGAAAATTCTGGAAACATTCAGCAGGCTTTTGATGAAGGTTCATTGACCCGAAACATTAAACCTAATTTCCTCACTCCTAGATTCTGCTTGATCCACTTCCAACATTTTCAGTTTTTATTTCACAAAATCTGAACCTAAGCCCAGTACTACAATATTCTTAGTGGAGAATTTTTACATTTTCACTGAAATTAGTTACTGTCAATGCAATGTTTTAACCATTTTCTTGTCAAACATGCTTCCACTATCTCATAATTTATTGTGACTCACTTTGGACACACAAGCTGCTTTTCGTTCTTCCAGGCCCTGTTGATTAGAGTAGTGCAGGGAACCACATTTTATGTAAACTAACTTGTTAATCATCTATGACTATTGCCGATGAATTTCTGTGGTTCATATCTATTGGTATTGATCACTAAATAGCATAGCAACATCAAAATCTTATCCTAACAATTCCCACAGATATATTCACATGATCGAGCTAAAATTACTCTCATTTATGTGCTGTTGTACAGTGTTGGGTTCTTAAGTTCGTTAAGCGAAGTACTATTAATTTAGAGAGAAATAAAACACAACACTGGGACATTGGAACCGGTTCTGGGGGAGGTGGGACCAGCATCAACCAGATGGTCTGCATCTGGGCAGGTCTGGAACAAATATGAGGTTATCCACTTTGATGGCAAAAACAGGAAAGTAGATTAATCCTGGCAGTCTAGTAAACGGTGAGGTGCAACGAGACGTGGGTATCATGATGGAACTAAGTTCTGACGAAGGGTCACCGGACCCGAAACGTTGACTCTGTTTTCTCCTCCACAGATGCTGCCAGACCTGCTGAGCTTTTCCATCAACTTTGTTTTTGTTATCACAGTAATGATGTCTTGCTGCAGTTATAAATAGCCTTGGTGAGGCAATATCTTGTATATCATGTGTAGTTTTGGTCTCTGAAGAAGGACATTCTTACTATTGAGGGAGCCCGGCAAAGGTTCACCAGACCGATTCATGGGATGGCAGGACTGACATATGAAAGACTAGATCGACTGGGCATGTAATCTCTGGAAGTTAGAAGGTACAAGGTGATGAGAGGCCTAGATAGAGTGGATAGTCAGAGGCTGTTTTCCCAGGGCGGAAATGACTGTTACGAGGCGGCATCTCTGGAATTTAGAAGAATGAGGGGGTAACTCACAGAAACATATAAAATCCTGATGGGACTGGACAGGCTAGATGTGGGAAGAATGTTCCCGATGTTGGGGAAAACCCGAACTCGGGGTCACAGTCTTAGAACAAGGAGTAAGCCATTCATAGAACATAGAACATAGAACAGTACAGCACAGTACAGGCCCTTCAGCCCACGATGTTGTGCCGACCTATTATCCTACTAAGGTCAAACTACCCTGCATACCCTACATTTTACTATCATCCATGTACCTATCCAAGAGTCGCTTAAAAGTCTCTAATGTATCTGACTCCACTACCACTGCCGTCAGCACATTCCACACACCCACCACTCTCTGTATAAAGAACCTACCTCTGACGTCTTCCCTATACTTTCCTCCAATCACCTTAAAATTATGCCCCCTTGTAATAGTCATTTCTGCCCTGGGAAAAAAGTCTCTGACTATCCACTCTATCTAGGCCTCTCAACACCTTGTACACCTCTGTCAAGTCACCTCTCATCCTTCTTCGCTCCAATGAAAAAAGCCCTAGCTCCCTCAACCTTTCCTCATAAGACCTGCCCTCCAGTCCAGGCAGCATCCTGGTAAATCTCCTCTGCACCCTCTCTAAAGCTTCCACATCTTTCCTATAATGAGGTGACCAGAACTGAACACAATATTTGAAGTGTGGTCTAACCAGAGTTTTATAAGGTTGCAGCATAACCTCGCGGCTCTTAAACTCAATTCCACTGCCAATGAAAGCCAACACGCCTTCTTTACAACCCTATCAACTTGGGTAGCAACTTTGAGGGATCAACGGATGAGGACCCCAAGATCCCTCTGTTCCTCCACGCTGCCAAGAATCCTGCCATTAACCCTGTATTCTGCATTCAAATTCGACCTTCCATTCAGAACTGAGATGAGGATGAATTTCATCGCTCAGAGAGTTGTGAACCTATGGAATTCTCTACCACAGAAAGCTGTTCATTAGATATATTCAAAAGGGAGCTGGATATGGCCTTTGCAGCTAAAGGGATCAAGGAGTATTGAGGGAAAACGGGAGTGAGATACTGAAATTGCATGAGCTAACAAGGTGTAGAGCTGGATGAACACAGCAGGCCAAGCAGCATCAGAGGAGCAGGAAAGCTGACGTTTCAGGCCTAGAGCCTTCTTCATTACTGAAATTGCATGTTCAGCCGTGATCTTATTCAATGTTTGTGCAGGCTCGAAGGGCCGCATAGTCCACTCATGCAATTATTTCTTATGTTTCTATGTTAAATACTTGTGGATGCTTGAGATCAGACTAATGAACTGAAAATGTTGGAAATAGTCAGCAGGGCAGGTAGCTTCTGTAGAGAGAGTAAGATGAGGTTATCATTTCCAGTCTTTCCCTTGTCAGAGCATTTACAAGCTGTCATACACTTAAACCATTAACCCTCAACAGGAAACTGTCCAGCTTTCTTAACAGGATGGCAATCACAGAGGCAGCCAATTTGGACACCATCTCTAGGAACATAACCCAGCAGCTTCAACACCAGGAAGTGCAAGTTCAGGACTGCTATTTGGCCCTGATGTCGAGGTCATTTCCGTGGTTCAAAAATCCCTTCTTCCAGGCCTAATGAAGCAGCAAAGCTTCAGACTGGAGACAAATTTAATGAAATGAGAACACAAATTGAACTGTGATTTCCTAATTTCTGTTTTTTTTCTCTCAGCTAATTTATGGATATTTCACTCAAGCTATGTATTATCGATAAATTGGAGTTATAGTGCTGACAAAGCTGAGTAAAAATTGTTTGCTATGTGCATGTAGAATGCATTTGCCTCAGAACTTATTTACCATGTAGATCTCAGTAGATTAAATTTGAACTACATTTCCCAACAACTTCACTCCTTAAATTCAACACATTAGAAGCAATTAGAAATATAAATTAGAATAATGGGATTAGAAAACCAATGGTTGCTTTTGACTGGCATGGACATGATGGGTTGAAGGTCCTGTTTCTGTTCCACAGATCTCAGTAATAAATATACTAACAAGCTTTGGATGAGACCTGACTTCCTTTGTGCTGATTTGCCAGATCATGGCCTTATTTTCGTTTACTGATTACCTTTATTGCAGTGAAAGAGGCCATGACTAACATCAGGTTTAACAGATGGGGCTTCCTGGATGTTGACACAGAGACCATGCAGACGAGCGAGCCTTGGGTTTTTGCAGGTGGTGACATCGCCGGTTTGGCTAACACCACCGTCGAGTCTGTGAATGACGGAAAACAGGCATCATGGCACATTCACAAATATTTGCAGGTGGGTAAAAGCTCTGTAGTTTCAAACCCATTGCTTGCTTGCTATTTTATGAATGAATGATTCTGCAGAATCTCTGAAGGTTTCATTTCAGTCCTTTGGTTGTGACTGTATACCGTTAAACAAAGGAACCTATGCATCGAGTTGTAGTTATTTCAGGTATGCCGCACTCATTTAAAATTTGAAGTTAACAGCGTGGGCTAAAATTGAAATGTTGAAAAATTATATTGTGCTGGTGAAAGGATAAGAATTTATTTATTTGATTAACTTCTTCCCAATATAATTCCATACTTATGGATCTTCTGCAGCAGCACATACTGAATCAAAGAATAGATTGTCAGCAACTGTCTCCTTCACTTCCAGCAGAAATAGAGATATCACCTACAAGAGATTACTTTCTTTCTTTCTGTCCCAATCTCCCTTTCTCATCCACACTCATCTGACCTTAACTTTCTCAATATTTCCTCATCCTCGCATTAAACAGCTCTCTCCATTTCCCCATATTGTCCTGGTTTGACAGGGTGTTTATCTTTATATTCTACCCCCGTGATATTGCTGTCTTCCTGCTGAGCAACAGAAAGAATCTTCTTGCTTTTTATGCTTTTGTTCTGTCTGTCAAAAACACTTCTTTTATTTCTCTTACAAGGTTCTTCCTTTAGCCCCAAAACACCTATGCTGATTCTTATTGCTGGTTCTTGAGATGCTTTATAAATATGTTTCTGTTTTTTTTTACTCTTTCCCTCCCTACTTGTATTTTTCTTCTTTGCATTTCTCTCAAACTTCACATCTCAGTATATCTCCCCAGAAATTTTTGGCTTCTTTAAATTTATCATGTCACTGTTTCTCAACACCATGAGATATAGGAACAGAGAAAGGTCTTTCAGCCCATTAAGTCTGCTGCACAATTCAATGAGACCATTGCTGATCAGATAATCCTCAACTCCATTTTCCTCCCTTTTCCTGTAACTCTTTTTTCCCTCACATTAAGAATCTGTCTGTCTCAGCCTTGAATATATTCAATGAACAACCAAGCTCAACAACAGTCTGCAGTAAAGAATTCAGTAATCTCTGGAAGAAAAAATTTCCACTCATCTCTGTGTCAGTCTGGACAACCTTCTATGGTCTGCCAGCAGTGCCAATTCATCTTTCCCCTAGATAAAGGACCCAAAATTATTCACAGTATTCCAGCTATGGTCTGACTAATGCCGTCTTTAGCTTTAGCAAAACCTCCCTACATTTATACTCTGTTCCCTTTGAAGTAAGTGCCAACATTCCATTTACCTTTCCTATTACCTGGTGAGCTTTGATATTAGCATTTTGTGATTCATAGACAAAGGATCTCAAAACCTTCTGTTCTGTAGCTTTTTTCAGTCTTTCTCCATTTAAATAATATTCAGTTTCTCTATTTTTCCGGTCAAAGTGTATATCTTCACATTTGCTACATTATGTTCCATCTGCCAAGTTGTTGTCCCCATCACTTAACCTATCTGTGTTACTCGACAGACCTTTTGTGTCATCCTCACCACTTTCCTTCTCACCTATGTTTGTGTCATATGCATTCTTGGCTATAGTACATTCACTTTCATCATCTAAATCATTACTACATGATATCAATAACTATGGACCCAGCACTGATCCTTGAGGTACTGTACTCATTATAGAATATCAACCTGAAAATGCCCCATTTATCCCAACTCTCTGTCTTTGATGAGGTAGCCAATCCTCTAACCATGTTAATATCCTACTTCCAACACCACAGGCTCTTATTAACCAGTCTAAGGTTTGGTACCTTATCAAATGCCTTCTGAAAATCCAAATATAATACATCCACTCCTTCCCCTTTATCCTGCTTGTTGCCCATTCAAGGAATTCTCATAAATTTGTTTGACATGACATCTCATTCATGAAGCTATGCTGACTCTATATAATCTAATTCTGTGTTTCTGAATGTTTTGCTATTACAGCTTTATAAAAGACTGGAACATTTTTGCAACGAGAGATGTTAAGCCAACTGGCCTATAGTTACCTGATTTTTTAATTTCTCCTTCCTTTTTTTAAGTAGGAGTGTTACATTTGCAGTTTTCCAATCCTCTGAAACTTTTCCAATCCAAGAATTCTTGGAAGATCACAACCAATACATTCACTATCTCTGTAGCTCTTTCTGTTAATCTTCTAGAATCCTATCAGTCTTCACCCTATTAGATTCCTTAGCAATTTTGCTCAAGTGATAGTTATTGTATTTATTTCGTCTCCTCTTTTTGCCCCTTGAATATTTAGTATTTTTGGAATGCATCTTCTACTATGAAGACAGATGCAAAGTATTTAGTAAATCCTTTGCCATTTCCTGGTTGCACATTATTTCCCCAGCCTCACCTTCTAAGACGCATATGTTCACTTTGGCTTTTCTTTGTCTTTTATATATTTAAAGAAGCTTTTCCTGTCCCTCTTGATATTATTTGCAAGGTTACCTTCAAAGTTTATTTTCTCCCTTTTTTGATTGCCTTTTGTTGCTTTTTTAAAATCGTTCTCAATTCTCTGATTCCACTCATCTCTGTCCCATCATAGAGCTACTATTAGGGGGCCAAGAAACCATTCCTACCAATGACTTCTTCCTCTTTTTGTTCCTTGCCTCCTCCCATATAGATTCTACCTCTTCTGATCCAGATTGTTTCTTGCTATTGTACTTATTCCATCCTATACTAACAATGCTACCTCACCACCTTTTCCTTCCTGCCTGTCCTTTTGAAAAGTAACATACCCCTAAGTATTTAGTTCCCAGATTTGATTGCCTTGTTCTTTCTTTAACATCATGATGGAGTTCGGTTTCTACCTCTCCTAAAATCTGCTGCCTTTTAGCCACTAATCAATTCAGAGATGCCAACTAACTTGGAAGCTTATACATAGAACATCCAGCACAGAAAGAGATCATCCAGCCCAATGGGTTCATCCTTGTGTTCATACACCTCATGTGCATCCTCCCACTCCTCTTCATCAAATGCTATTGGTGTCTCCTTCAGTTCCTTTCTCCTTTTGTGCATTTACCTAGCTTTTCTAAAATGCTTTCTTTTTTTTAATTCAACTAACTCCTATGGTAGCAAGTTCCTTATTCCAATCACTCTAGATAAAGAAAATTTTTCTGAAATCCCTTCTGGATTTATTAGTGACTGTTATAGCTACTGTCACTAATTTTCAAGTCCTTGACAGTCTTCTCCATATTGACTCAATCTAATCCTTTCATGAGCTTAAAGTCGTCTATCAGGTCACCCATCAGCCTTCTGTCTGCTAAAGGAAAAAAAAATACAATTTGTTGAATCCTTCCTGAAAGATAAGTATTGGTATCATCCTTGCAAATCTTTTTATACTTTCCTCTACTTTTATAATATGGAGATCAAGACAGTGCACAGTACTGTAAATGGTATTCCAAGATTTCTTCAACTTTACTACAACTTATCAGCTTTTCATTTATGTCATTCTCAAAATGAACCCTAATGCTTGTGTTCTTGATTTTTGACAGCCATATTAGCCTGTTTGATTAGTTTTAGTGAGTTGTATACCAGTTCACCTATGTTCCTTTTCTTCTCTACCCCAATTACCCTCTCTCTATCCCATTTTGAAGATGGTGCCCGCAATTTCAGGCTTCTCTCCAATCCAGGAGAAGATTTGGAAATGGGGGATTTGAAACATTAGATGGAATGGAAGGACAATATCATTCCCATTGCCCTTCCCTCCTCTGCTCATATTTTACCAACAACAGAGTCAGTGGTGGATGGATTGTCCGCCTTTAAACAATCTAGATTGTTAAGAGGTAGTGCCTCTTCCAACATTGCTAGTAATTTACCAGTCATAGGTGGGCACTCTATCACCTATGGATGCCATCCAATAAAAAACTTATAGCCTTTCTGTGGACTCAGGGTGGGGAGGGTTTATTTTTGATTGAGTTTTGTGCCCCAGCGGTATCTCTATATTCGTGAGGTGGGCAGTTACAGATAGCAACTCATTAGCAGCTCCATAATAGCAATTAGGGAGGGGTAACAAAGTCCACATCCTGTGAACGAATAAGTAAACTTTTTTTGATTTTAAGTGTGGGACACAATACATATTGCATCAGCAAATTTGCTATCTTATAGTTGTACTGGGAGGGTCATGCCTCCTGTTACTGTGAACCAATAAGGACAGCCCAGATTGCACTGAATGTCCCATTGAGTTTGAGAAGCCCAAAGATGCTGAAAATGCCTTCAGTGGAATGGATGGTAAAGTAATTTGTGGTTGAAGTGTTCAAGTGAACCTAGCAACAGGAGTGCCATGAGCAGTCAGCTCTCAGCTTTGTTTCTTCTGAGCTTCAAATTCTGATATAACCAATTTCATGGTTATTGGGACAGGGTCAGAGTAATACTGCCTATTTGTTACTAGGAATTGATCACTCAGTAACTTCTTTGATTTGGTGAGTCAAGCAATGAATGTCATTGTAAGGGCTTTGTTTTCATATGTTCCTATATTTTTGATGCCATCGGAATGGCGAGACTTTGAATGGAAAGCTTCATGTACATTCAGTTTGCTTTATCCCACATTAAACCAACAATGACCAAGTCACTTTCACATTTAGGTTGCAGTAGCATTGATGGAAATGCAAAAAATTCTATTTCATGTCCAAAGTTAAACAGAAGGAAAGTTACATGGATCTATAAATTCATTTCAATATCATTTTAGAAACTGAAAATCATGACAATCACAGTCACTGCTAAAGATGTGAACAGTTGAATGCCATGCTATTGCAGTAAGAATTAATTTCACCTTGATATTTAATACTGCCATGGAGACTAATATTTAAATAATAATTTATTTTAATATTACATTATTCACATGTGTTAAGTAGAACAGTCAATGGGGAATTTAGTCAATATTGAGTAATAGGTTCTTCAGAAAAAGCACAATCCTGAAACTTCCTCCTTCCTCATTATGCATTGTCTGTGTACCTGGGTGTTGGTTCTATGGCAAATGATTTT